CCACACCCACTCCCAGGCCCATCAGGCTCAGGAAGGCCAGCACCCAGAGACTCGGGACTTGTCTGTGCCTCGTTTCCAGTACTGCACGTTGCACAACATTAACAACAGGGAGGACTTGAGTACTGGAAGGGGAAACTATGTGTGTGTGAAGGGTTATATGGGGACTCTATACTTTGTGATTAATTTTCCTCTAAACCTAAAACTGTTCTAAAAACAGTCTATTTTTTTAACAGAACATATTACTGTAGTGGAGAATGCATGGGTTCACTGGGTTGGACTGCTTAATCTGCTTTTGCAGAATAATAATAACAGGTATTTATTTATAAAGAATCCAATAACAAAATACAGATGCAGCAAGATCCCATCGCCAGACACCCCAGAGCCCATGAGTACTGGAGTGGTACCTACTGGAATTATAGTAAAGGAAGGGAGAGAGAGAAGACTCGGAATTCTTAAAGTATATGATCCCTTTCCTACTCAGAGTCAGATTTTACATTGCTGGATTTTGTCAGTAGTTATATTTTTGTAACACTTTGTAGTTTTGCACACACTCTCACTCACACGGTCCCTGATCATATATACCATTTCATGTCCTCCCCACTACTTCTGGATGCCTTTGCATCCTCTGGATATATCCTTTGTATCCTCTGGATGCTTTTTATTGTGCTGTTAACGATCTATCAATATACTCTTTCCTGCTCCTCTTACACAGGATTAGAATTCCCTGGGTTTTAATTCTGTGAGTATCCATTGAATCAGATGCTTAGAGTTTGAGGGACTCTAGAAATTATCTTTCACAACAGATTATCAAATAATTACACAGAGACCCAGAGATACTCAGTGCCTTAACTAACTGGCTGGAGAAATGGACCGAGATTAGCTTCTTTCCACTACCAGCCCTGCTTCATCTGTAGCCCCACAGGAATCCTAGACCAGGATTCCCTAAGGCTTCCATAACCACTCAGTCACTAAGTTCATCAGTTCCTTCTTCAGTCTGTCTCCTAAGCCAGCTCTTTGCTCTTCCTTGATACCAATGTTCCAATTCGTGTTCTTGTTCCCCCATATCTTTCCTACACCACAGTCTTCTGGAATGTTTCTGTTATCTCTCAACTGCTGTGCGCCCTACCTGGAGCTTCAAATAACTTTTTGTTACAATGTAGATTTCTTCATGGATCTTTTTTGTAAAAAAGGAAGCCCCAAGCTCTCAATGGCACATTGAAGACACTCCACAATTTGATTTCTTCCTGCTCTCCATACTCATGAACCTAATAACGATTTGGACTATTTTCACTCCTTGTTTTCCACTCCCCAGCATATCACAACCTGTCCTATGTATCTTTTGTCACACTGTCCTCTCCTGGAAATGTTCCCTGTGTTGGTCAGTTTGGACTGTTTATCAGAAAGTACTATCAACTGGGTAACTTATAAACAACACAAATTTGTTTCTCATGCTTCTTCTGGAGGCTGGAAAGTCCAAGAGCATGTCACAAGTAGATTCCGTGTGTGGTGAGGACTGCTTCCTGGTCCATAGATGGCGGTGTCCTCAGGTGGCAGGAAGGTAAGAGAGCTGTCTAGGATCTCTAGGATACTAGGTCACTAAGCCCATTCATGAGGGATTATATGGCTACTCTCATGACCTAATCATCTCTTAATGGCCCCACCTCCAAATATCATCTTATTGGAGATTAGGTCTCAATATATGAATTTTGGGAGGATACAAACTTTCAGTCTATAGCGCTTCCTAATTTATTGGGCAACTTACTCTTCCCTCAGGTCCAGATAAATGTCTCCCTTTCCCTCTGATATCATCCTTGATTGCCACAAGATAATAATTTCTCTTTTAACTGAATCCCAATAGTGCTTCTTGCCTGTAGCACTCGTGGGGCACTTCGCATAAGTATTCTGAAAATTTATTTAAATTATAATTTATATATCTTACTTATGAATTATATTAAATTCCTTGAAGGTAGAAATCTTCTGTTGCCAGTTTCCATCAGTATACTTGGATGGAGCATGTTTAATGGAGGTTTATTTATAGAAATGACAGTTTTAGACACAATATTCTAGGACCGAAAATCTTGGAATCATCTGATGCCAAATTATAGGGAACATTCTTTTCATATTCCAAAGATATTTCAGTGTTTAGTGATGCTTTTATTGAGGCAGTGCCCTTTGGGATGTAATCAAAATTCCAAATGCAATATTTAGCTCTATGCAGTGAACTTCTGACAATGACTATCTTAAAAAGCAAATCACTTTTGACTTCCTCCTTGTATATTTGATGAGAATTGTCACAACACCATTGGGTTGAAGAGTGAAATTCTTACAGGAATCACTTTTCTAAAGGTTGTTTAACATTAAAAAAATAAACTGTTCACCAAATGTTCTTTGATACAATTCAATTAATGATTTTATATTCTCTCTGTATAGACGTGTGATTTTAAGTGATCATTTTTTTCCATTTCCTTAAACTGCCTATCATCCCATCACACCCACCACTGCACTTTGAACACATCCTCTCCTAGGAAAGAGGATTTTATCAGGATCGAGAGTATAAAGCCCTATAATTTTGAATTATTTTTGCATACAGAATATTTAGAAATGTGAATTCTGTACCAAGAAAAAATGTAGTATGATTTTTTTATTTATTTCATAAATGAAGTGAAATGCATGATGGCAATCTTGGGGTAAGGCTCAGTCATATAAATCAAAATGAAGCTATTTAATCTATTTGCACTGCTGGTGTATATATATATATATATATATATATATATATATATATATATATATATATATTAATAGAGCCAGGAAGGCTCTATTCCTTCAATAACTATAGTCATTCCCTCGATAACTATCATGATACTTTAATATAATGCCAACATACTGAACCATAAGCTTTCAATCCTAAAATTTGCTATATAAATTAGAACATTATCATAATCAGCATTTTCAAGCTTACACACTGAAATACAGGTGCCCTATAGGCATGTTACTAACAGGAAAACTTAATCACAGTTAACTCAAAGCAAATACTGACTTTTCACAAGAATAATAAAGTAAATTGAGTCTATAAATATTAACGAGGGGGTAATAAAATGTTTACCAGACATGTAAATCAGATTATAGGGGTCTTCTATCTTTACTGCATGTGCAAGTAGAAAGGCAAATGGGGAAAATTTTTATTATATAATAATATATAAAACTGGTATTAATTTATGACGGTTATTAATTCTTGAATGTTCGTAAGTTAAAAGTGAAGGCAATAGAATTATCTTACATAATATATTTTAAAATATAATTTACATACTCTGATAAAGACTTTTTTAATGCTTGATTTAATAATGTGGTTTAATTTTTCTGTTTAGCACTTATTATATTTACCACACACTGTATTTTACTTAATTACTTTGTTTATTCTGTTTCCCCATTACTGCCCCTGGAATACAACCTAATCAGGGCAGGCGTTTTTAACTGGAGGGGCCTTCAGTGGCTCTGATGCTTACAGGAGTACCACGCTTTCAAACTATCATAATAAATGAACACTCCCCAAAGAGTTATGATACAGAGTCATACTCTTAGAAGGAATTATATAAAATAAAGATGTTAAATGTGAATTAGGGTTTCAAATTATAAAGAAAAATCACAAATTCCAGAAGTATAAAATGTTTCTTATTAAAAAGGTGTCTCATTTCCTCACCTCATTTTATAGATATAAAACCTATGGTGTGAGAAATCAAAGGATTTGTCAGATCACAGGATTTTTGTATTAGAGACACCTTAAACCTCATGTAATCCAAATGTTCAGTTGCTTAGGGCTACTCAGCTTATGTCTTCATACCTGCAGTGATAGTGAGCATGTTTAGTCTTTTAAGAACACTACTTGTTAGAAACTTCTTTATCATATTATAATTAAGACTTGTATTCCTATGCTTCAATTTATTATTTCTATTCAGTAGTTATATTCTTTGGTAATACACAGCATATCTAGTCCAGGGTATCATTTTATAGATAGACAGATAGATAAATTAATGTAGTACAAGTGCTAAATTTGAGGTCATTTGCATATGAGAGTTTAAAGCCCAACAGTCTACTTGTCTCACTCTCCCCCTAATATTTCTTCATCTCCTGCCTTGTCTCATGATAAACTCTGGACTAGAATATATACGCACATACACATATCATACATACACACGGAGAACACCTAGATATCTATATATAATTCTTGCACATATACACATATAATATTAGGATTTACTACACAGAAAGGCATGTATATATTTTGTCTTATAGAAAAATCAGTTAAAGAATTTTAAATATGTAATACACTTTCCAGCTGCATTTTTTCTGTTAGTTTAATTTCTATTACATCAGGAACTCAAAAACCAAAACAGGTTGTACTCATCTTATCCTCTAAGAGCCTAAATCAAGTTTATTTCCATATGAAGACTTTTAGTAACATATTTGTTAAAATTGTTTAAATGCTTTCAGAAATCATTCTATTGTGACCCTCCAAACAAATATCTCTTTTTTTCTGGTTATTTCAAGATTCATCTAAATCCCACTCTCCCCTGAATAAACATATTTAACTCCCTTTTTGGATGTAATTTCTAGAATTAAACACAGTGGTCAAGCTTTGGTCCTCCTAGAACAAAATAGCATGGGCTTATCTCCTGACTCATTCATGGAAGTATATTTCTCCCAACACAACCCATAATTCCACTGATGTTTTTCAGCACCCATATCATATTCAACTCATACTGACCTTAATGTCAAAAATATTAAAAAATATATTTTCTATATGATTATTGCTAAGCTAAGTGTCCTTTATTCTATATTTATGCAGCTGGACTTTTCTTTGGAGGAGGAGAATGACCCTATATTGAGACATACTTAATGTTTTTCATTTCAAAAATTTGTTCACAGAAGATACATATTCTAACAGATTAAAGAAAAATTTAATTGAGGGATATAAAATACAAATTTTGAGACTCATATCTTACCTATAAAAACCTGGTGGCACTTGCGGAACCAGGAAGTTCTTCTCCATGTCCTGGAGAATGTCATTCAGCATTCGGACACGCAGAGGAACTCTCTCCTTTGGGTCATTAGCAGGACGCATCTCATCTGACTGGAAGAGTTCAGCACTTTCCCGAAGGTGTGAGGCCAGGGCTAGTAGTTGATGAGTGTTGGTTTGATCACCTGGTGAAGAAAAATGGGCTCATCTCAGAAAAGACATTCTCAAAAGGAGCAAAATTATCATTTTATAATTGTGATGTATTCATTTCACCAAAAATATTTTGTATAAACATATTCTACTAAGCATATTAAATATATCATCACTAATACTACTACTAATAATTAGCACTAATAATAATACCAGTAAGTAGGTACTGTTAGTGGAGAGACTGCTACGTTTCAGGCACTGGGTTGAGCACATGATAAAATAATCTCTATTAATATTTGCCAAACTTTGTATTGCCATATCTATTTCACAGAAGCTGATAATTAATTAAAGAGAATTTCCTAGGTCAGTAAGCAAGTAAATAACAGGCCACAATCAGAAGACTGATCTCTCTGACTCAAATACTCATGCTCATGATGCTGTGTTTCTGGGAAAAACATTTTCAAAGGAGTTATCATCCTTTTTTTTCCCGAAAACACGATTTGTGCTACTATGTGTTGTTATGACTCTATTGGGCTTTTTTGTTTCTTAAAATTTTTCTGTAATTTGAAGTTGATATACATTTTTGATTTGAAAATACACTGAAAACTATCCTATATAGTGTTTGTATTGTTTTGTTTTTCTTTCAAGATGATTATTGTTATTGTTTCTTTATTTGTTTGCCAAATTTATGGAAACTCATTCTATTATGAATGGAGGTAGCAAAGGGATCACAGATCATTCCTTTGACTAAGAAAAAGACAGCATTTGTATAGTAATTACAGCTGCAAGATCATCGGGTCATAACAAATGAGTTTAAATCCGTGCTCTACAGCTTTAGTAGCTGTGTGATGTTGGGCTAGTTACTGAGCCTCAGTGTAATACTTGTCAAGTAGTTCCCTACAGATAGACAGTTCCCAGCTGATGCAGTTTAACACCTTGTTTAAAAAGCACTTTTTATTATACCATAAGAGGGGAATTTATCTTTATCTTCTTCCATATATCCCCACTATTAGAGCCAGTCTTTGGTGAGACAGCAGTTAATGATGTCATTCTCAGGAAACTAGGTACAACTGACTCCAATGAGGTCAGCAGATCACTGCAAAGAATCATTTCAAGTGAAGGTAATGAAGTGAACATGGACCTAGTAAATCTAAACTGGCGGTCCTGACAGCATGGTGTGGAGATTAGCAGACAGAAGGTTGAAAGAAGCCTTACGGCACTACTTGGAGAAATCTCTGGCAAAAAGGAAAAGGTTGTGAAGGGAGTCTTTTTCCACCAAAGTCCAAGGGTTACCAGCTCTCAAAATACCCAGTGTTTGTTGAAATGCAGATTCCCAGATCGGCTGAAGCACTACAGGGGTAGAACCTAGGAATCTCCATTTTAACATGGTAGTCAGATTATTCCACACATTTTCAAGTTTAAGAAACATGGTGGAGACATGATATACTAAAAAAAGAGAGAAAACTAGGAAGTATAGCTGATATATAAAATATGTCTGTTGTAGAATTAACTACTAATACCATGACCTTTCTGTCTCTCCCTTTCATTGGACGGGGACTATTTGACATGTCACTTGCTTTGAAGCCCAACATCAGGCTGTCATTCAACAGTTGCTTACTGAATAAATAAAATAAATTTTATACAGTATTTTAATATAAAAATCCAAAAACAAAAGGCAGAAAAGAAATCCAACAAGAAAAGAAACTATGTAGAGATAGTGGTATTTATAGGGATACAAGGAACCCTTTATGAAACCTTCTAGTCACTGAAACTGACAACATAAATAAAATCTATCGTTCACAGGTTTTGGCATTTTGATGTGTTTATAGTACATTTTACACATTCAGTAATTATCTTGTTTGATTTCACAACAAAACTTGAGGTTATGACAGGAGAGACCTTTGCTTATTTAGACAATCTAGCCTCCTAAATAACAATAATAATACTAATGTTATTTGATAAAGATACGGGTTTTCTTGAATGATTATGGTTCACCGAAGTTACTATATGGAGAACTTACGGGGAACATGTTGGCACAACGAAAGACCAAGATGGATGCAGGAACTGAAAGACTGAACAACAGTAAAAACAAGTTTGACATCCTTGAGAGTCTTCCATTTAGGAAAGAAATATCTGTTCTGATGTAACATACACTACAGAATTGAAGACATTACTACTGAATCAAGTGAGACAAACTGTGCCATTCGAACTTATTTAGCTTAAATGAAGTTATCTTTCATGGTGGTGCAAACATAGAGAATTGACAGGTTTAGGAACTGGCTGGAACCAGAAAGATCCCTGAGAGTGGAAATCCGCCTTCCACAGCATCCACCTATGTGTTACCTCAGGGGGAGAAGGCTACAAATTGAAAAGTAGCTTTACTTTCAGTGTTCACACCATCATTTTGACACACAACTGGCATTCTAAAGACTCCTAATAGTCATTTCTGAGTTAATTAGAGCTCATTTGTTCCTTTAAATAAGATCCAGAATGTAACGTTAACTTTTATAGGTTGGTTTCAGTAATCCCAAATGATTATTTTTCTTATGATCATTAGGATCCCTACTAAAATGTCAGTTCCATGAGGGAAAAGGATTTTTGTCTGTTTTGTTCAGTACTATTTGCCCAACTCTTGAAACTGTAGCTGCATTTTGTTTAATGAGTGGACATGTAGACCGTATTTGGACCACAGTATCACGACATCTCTTATATTTTAATTTACATCTTCCATCTCTCTCTGCTTTCCCTGACTCAAAAGAAGCCAACAACATCCACAAATACATTTTATCTCTCTTCGTATCCCCAGATTCTAGCACAATACCTTACATATGGTAGTTGTTTTAAAAAATTTGTTAAGTGAATGCTGAATATAAGATCATGACTTATTTGAGATACATTATTATATTAAATAATGTCTATAAAATTACTCAAGGAGATGTGTGGAACAAACTCAACAAATCTTATTTCCCTTACTTTCTTGCTGAAATCAATAATATTGCAAAAAACATAAAAAGAGGCTATTTTTAGGTAATGATAAGTTAAATTAAACTAAATTATATTAAAATATGGCCTAACAAGAACCCATAAAAACTAATACATAAAACTTCATTTAAGGCATATTGCATGTCAAAGAACAGAAGACTAACTAAGGTTCTTAACAGTTCAGGTTTAATAAGTAATAAATCTATTGTTTATTTGACATGTCAAAGAACAGAAGACTAACTAAGGTTCTTAACAGTTCAAGTTTAATAAGTAATAAATCTATTGTTTATTTGACCAAAGACAATGAAGTAAGAACTAAAGACATCTCTCAGACAAGATTAATATAATTATCTTGAAATAATATGTACACAGAGTCTAAAAACCAAGGACTCGATGTGAAAAAACAGAGAACAGCCTAGTCTACTTATCATCAACATGGCCTTGGATAGATTACTTAACATTAGAGTCCTTCATTTTCCTTGTGGAAAATGGAGCGAACATTCATTTCATTTTCTAAGCATAAAGATCACTAGGCTAAGGCAACTTATTGCTGTCAGAGTACATAAACCAACCAGAAATTACTACCAACAAGTACTGTAACAGCTTTACTAATGCTTTCATCCTCAGAAATTCTGCTTGTTATTACTTTCTTCAATCCGTGGCCCCTCCTGGCAACTGTATCACACTCCTTCCCTACACAGATTATTCAGCATTCCCTAGAAATCTGGCACCATTTTTCTTTCTATAGGGCAGGCATATAAAACCTCTGAAGAACAAGGGAAGGAATAATACAAAAGGAAAAGGAATTAAACATCCACATTCTAAAAATGATCCTTATATAACTCTGCTCCTGGTGAAAAGCCAACTATTAATATTTTTATAGCATGGTAGAACAAACTAATTTGTGATAAATATTAAAAATCAACCTTAATATAATACAAAATAATTGAGATTTCCTATTGAAATTGCTTTTATTTTATTCAAGAGACAAGTGAAATGTTCTTCTAGATGTCAAATAAAAAGTTTGTATTTTTCCTGTTTCATCTCAAAGGCAAATAACAAATGTATTCTCAGTAAGTACTTATTAAGACCTATTTTGTGTGTTATTCTATAAGTATTGGGAGAGAGACAAAGACATATACAATTAAATGTCCAACCTTAATAGGTTTCTAAATTCATTATAAATAATCCACAAATGAAGAATAAATATTGTTAAATGAAATTAATGCTCACAAGGATGACTAAATAGTTCATGTGTACAAGAATATGCTTAGTAGACCCCAGGGAAGAAATAAAACTTGAGAGGCAAATCACAAAGTTGTCCAGAAATTAAGGGCATCTCAGATGGAACTTTGAAAATTATGACAATTTATCTACATTCAAATGGTTGAGGTAAGTGTTCCATCTGTAAACAATATGATTAGTTTTCCCTTCTTCTGCACTCCATCCTCACCCTTCTAGGGTTTTAATCTACCTCTAATTTAAACATTTTTATTTTTCTAAATTTTGATGGATGGGACAGAGCTGAACATTATAAGCAGTGTCAATATTCATTGAAGAGAAGGAAGGGAGATCAGAAGGGAGGGAGAGAGAAAGGGAAGAATTATTAATTAGCAGATATTGAGGTGAATAGCAATCCAGTTCAGAAGAGACTTTAAATATACCAGAGGAACATACTGCTACTCCTCAGGGAATCTCCTGTCTTCTAGCCACCCATCACCCCTGCAGCATCCTCCCCTGAAGGCAGTTCAGTGCGAGGGTAGAATTGGCAGGGGCTTTGGAGTCTGACAGACCTATATTCAAGCTCTAAACCTGCTGCTTAAAAGTATACACTTGAGTAACACACACACACACACACACACACACACACACACAACTACTGGCTCTGAGGCCCAATTTCTTAATCTCTAAAATTATTTTTAACAATACCCAGCTAAATCCATGAGGTTAAAGTTGAAATGTCCTAAGGAATGTGAGGCACTTTGCACAATGCCTGGGGCTTTATGGAGACTTCTAAAGTGCCAAGGTGTATCCCTGAAAATTTGTTTCTTCC